CCAGCAGGTCGAGGCTGCGGTGACCGGGAGCGGCCACTGCACTCCAGTCTGGGTGACAGAGTGAGGCCCCAACTCAAAAATAAAATAAAATAAAATAAATAAAATAAATAAAAACATTTAAAAAAACTCCCAGTCCTGCAAGCAAGAATCAGGTGAGATAACCACATCTTTACACCTAGGTCCATCATTAATTAGATAAGTGAGTTTGCTTTAAATACGAATAATTCCTAAGCAAAAATTGTAAGTATTTCAAGGGGAAAATAAACAGTGCCTAAATCATAATTTAGGCCTACTCCCAAGGACTTTTCAAAATCTGACTGAATTTATATCTAGCTCCTTTTCTCTTACTAGTCTTTTTTGGGAGAAAACATTATTAAATCTACTACTTAAAAGCAAAAAAATAAACTCAATTCATTCACCAGGGTCAAGGAAATCAAAGACCAAAATACAGACTCTAAAAAACATGTATACCATAATTGTCAAGCATTACAAGCAACATCAGAAGCTCTTCAAGGGAGAGTTAGGTGGAATTTTTATTTTTATTTTTTTAGAGAGAGTAGAATTTATAATTTTCAAAAGTTTAAGAACCGAAAGATATTTCCTACACATGGGAATAAAAGGAGTCCTAACTGGAAACTATAATTTAGATTTCCTCATTAGGAAAAAATAAGAGGGCCTCCATTAGCCTAAGCTGCCATACGTGGTATATAAATTAATGAATGCAGCTGTGATCCAATAAAACTTTATTTTTTTAATAATCAATATTTCTTATTATGATATTGTGGGGTACAGTTAAGGGTTAGGTATACAAATATGTTTCGTTCAGGCACCCTTGTTGATAAGAGGTATTTCCCCATCCCAATAAAACTTTATAAACACAGGCAGCCTTCAGGCAGTAATTTGCAACCCCCCTGCTCTAAACAGCCCAGTTTTTAAACCAGCATAAAATTACAGACACATAAAAGATAAACTACCTATATATAATTATATAATTCTATCAAGCCTTTTCTACCTGTAGTGAAAAGTACCAAAAGCAGCAGAGGTCAAAAGAGCTGACAGGAAAGGGAAAAAAGATGAATGTGTTAACCAAAGCTGTTCCTGACACTTCATTTAGATCTATTCAACAAATATTTGCTTAGTACACATGGCCCCCTGCCCTCAAAATCTAGTAAGGAAGACAACACATTCACAAACACGGACTACTAATTAGGCCACCTAAGTGCCGCATTATGGTAGAAAAAACCATTAACATCTCCAAGATGCTTCAAGGTTTAACTTATCCCTGTATATAGTATCTTAACAAAGCCTCAACAACACTGTGAAGTACATAAAGCACTTGGTATTATTCTCATTTTATACAAAATTCATTAGCAGCAAAGCTAGGATTTGAACCTCCAGTACTACTACAGATCTACATCTTAGTGCAGCTTTCTGCTAGAGCTGGTAACAGAAGTATAGGCATCTGGATTGAGCCAAGAATGAGCAGGATTTTCCAAGAAAAAAAAAAAACACATACAGAAGTCCAGAAGCAGAGGAAGATAATGTGTGTAAAGGCAATGCTGGGTTGGTTTACATAAAGCAGACATGGGAAATAAGGTTATAAAAATGAGTTGAAAGCATGGAAAGAGCTTTAGGATCTGACTAAATGTCTATCCATGAGCCTATGGACAACATGAAATCAAATGGTTTAGGAAAGAGAAGGAAGAAATAAAGTAAATTTAGCTCCTCCAATGTGTTCAGTACTGTGCAAAATAATCACCTCATATCCAGAAATGTCATAAGGTAGTGCTACAAGGAGTCCTCAGCAGAAATCTAAAAGGTCTAAAAGAAAGTCCTCAAAGGCTATCTCCATAGTTTAAACATGAAGAGTCAGAGAATGCAAAGTAATTCCTGTCTGTATCTGACTTGACAGTTGATATAGGTCCCCTATACTACCCTACCCCAAAAATTAAATCAATGCTCAAAAAACCATTAAATTATACTCCATTTTATCTAAAACTTACCGAATCCTCTGGAGGTCTCTGGATTTTCCCCCAATCCACAGAAGGCCCCTTTTCTTGCAAAAATCTATGAAATAGATTCCGAAATCCATCAAGGTCCTTTTTTGTATGCTATGAAAATAGAAGTCATTGTTACAACCAACAGAATGCTTAACATTAAAATACAGAGATACAAACTACACATTTAAGATACCTTTAAATGAAATTCTTATACTAATAGAACACAGAGCAAAACAAAGATTTTTTTTTATACCTAATTTAAAACTGAAGAGGAAGAAAAGCTAATAGGAACCATATTTAAAAAAATAAGCTGGGCTTGGTGGCTCAGCCTTTAATCCCGCGCCTTTGGGAGGCTGAGGTGAGTGGATTGCCTGAGACCGAGGGTTCG